CATGGTGCACCCGGCCTTGGCGCCCTCCTCTTAAGACGGCAAAGTGGCTGAGGATGCGGCGGGGGCGGCGGCCGGGCCAGGGGCAGCGACGGGGACCCCGACGATGCTGCAGTGGCTGCCGCCAGAGCCGCTGCCTCCCGTCCTGCTCCCCCTCCCTGCCCGTTTGGCTGAGGACGCAATGGGGCCGCCGCCACTGGAGCCGCTGCCTCCCGTTCTGCTCCCCCTCCCTGCCCCTCCCTGCTTGTTCGGCTGAAGAAGCGATGGGGCGGCTGGGAGCTTCTACCTTCCGTCATGCTCTCCCCGCCCGTTCGGCACCATCTGCCTTTCATTCTCTCTCTCTCTCTCTCCTAACCTGGAGTGAGAGGGAGAGAGAGAAAGAGGAAAGAAAGAGAAGAGGAAGAGAGGAGAGAGGGAAAGAGAAAAAGTGGAAAGAGAAAGAGGAAATAAAGAGGGGAAAGAGAGAGAGAAAGTTAGAGGAAAGAGAGGAAGAGAAGAGAAAGAGGAAAAAAAGAAAAAGAAAAGAGAGAAAAAGAGAAAAAGAGAAAAAGAGGAAAGAGAGAAAGAGAAGAGAAATAGAGGAAAGAGGAAAGAGAAAGAGGAAAGAGGGAAAGAGAAAGAGGAAAGAGGAAAGAAAGAGAGAAAGGAAAGAGGAAAGAAAGAGAGGAAAGAGAAAGAGAAGAAAAGAGGAGAAAGAGAGGAAAGAGAGACAGTCAGAGGGAAGAGAAAGAGGAGAGGAAAGAAAGGAAAGAGAGGAAAGGAAGAGAAAGAAAGAGAGAGGAAAGAGAAAGAGAAGAGAGGAAAGAGAGAGGGAAAGAGAGAGAGAAAGAGAAAGAGGAAAGAGGAAAGAAAGAAAAAGAGGAAAGAGAAAGGGAGAGGAAAGGGAGAGAAAAGAAAGAGAAAGCAAGAGGGAGAGGAAAGAGAAAAAGAGAAGAGAAAAAAGATTGAGAAAGAGAAAAAGGAAAGAGAAAGAGAAAGGAAAGAGAAAGAGAAGAGAGGAAAGAGAGGAAAGAAGAGAAAGAGAGGAAAGAGAGAGAAAGAGGAAAGAGAAAAGAGAGGAAAGAGAAAAAGGAAAGAGGGAGAGAAAGGAGAGGAAAGAGAAAGGAAAGAGAAAGAAAGCGAGGGGGAGAGGAAAGAGAAAAAGAGGAAAGAAAAAAGATTGAGAAAAGAGAGAGGAAAGAAAGAGGAAAGAAGAGAAAGAGGAAAGAGAAATAAAGGAAAGAGAGAGGAAAGAGAAAGGAAAGAGAAAGGAAGGAAAGAGGAAAGAGAAGAAAAGAGGAAAGAAAGGAGAAAGAGAGGAGAGAAAGTTAGAGGAAAGAGAAAGAGAGAAAGGAAAGAGAAAGAGAGAGAGGAAAGAGAAAGGGGGAGAGGAAAGAGAAAGAGAGAGAGGGGAGAGGAAAGGGAAAGGAAAGAGAGAGAGAGAGAAAGAGGAAAGAGAGGGAGAGGAAAGAGGCATAAAATAATTCATTTGCATTTAATTGTAATGGTTCAAAGAATGTTCGGAAAAATGTTCGGCCCTCCAGTACGTTCACTTCATCCAATCTGGCCCTCTTTGAAAAAAGTTTGGACACCCCTGGGCTAAACATTACTAAAATTTTAGAATAGTACTTTAGCAGCAAATTAGTACAGAAATGTAGAGACCAAGTGGTTTGTCTTGACACGAGCTTTATGTCACACCTTATCAGCTGTACAAAGATTCTGGTATAGGTATAGCATATAACTTTCTGGTCTAAAATATGTAAGATAAGACAAAAAATTAAACATAGCTTTGAGGAACCAGTACACCTTTGTATGGAAGGAGTGTGTACATTCATTTCTAATACCATTAAACATACGACAGTATATTTCAGTATCTCACAGTTCTGAAGGATCTGGCAGATGTTATCTCAGAACCATTGCACCACATCTTTCAAAAATCCTGGAGCACCAGGGAAGTACCTGAGGATTGGAAAAGGGCTGATGTGGTTCCCATCTTCAAGAAAGGGGGGAAAAACGGACCCAGGAAACTACAGACCAATCAGTTTAACATCAACACCTGGGAAGATCCTAGAAAAGATAATCAAAAAACAGATCTGCAAACAACTAGAAGCAAACTGATTGTCAGCCGCCCTGAGTCCGCAAGGAGAAGGGCGGGATATAAATTCAATAAATAAATAAATAAATAAATAAAACAAAATTTTAACTGGTAGCCAGCACGGGTTTGTTAAAAACAGATCATGCCAAACCAATCTTATTTCATTCTTTGACAAAGTGACTAAACTAATAGACCAGCGAAATACTGTGGACGTAGTATACTTAGACTTCAGTAAGGCATTTGATAAAGTAGACCACAACGTACTCCTTGGTAAGCTATAAAAAGGT